GTGGGTGACGGGTGCGCCTTCACGTGCTGAGCATTGCCGGCGCCACACACACGGGATCCCAGCCTTGGTCATGGATCTGAGCTTGGCGGGGTCTGCTTGTTTCCTTCCATGGGACACAGACATTATTTATTTCTTTAGATTTGTATCTCGCCCTCCCTGCAAGCGGGCTCAGGGCAGGTGACACAAGACAACTCAGCAAATGTAGTGGCTGTGATATACAATAAAGAGGCTTAAAATAGTTACAACAGAATTAAAACAAACTAAAAAACAGTCTTAGGGCATCAGATGGTTGAATGTAGACGATGCCGCGGTCACATCGGCTTCCTTGCTCAGCGCTAGGTGCTAAGGGGGAGCCTTACTTTGCTGCCTTCTGGCATACACCCCCCTGCCCGCCCCCCGCCAGGACACTGATATCCAGGCACTTGGTAGCCACACTGATCCTCCTGGCACTGGAAAAGAAAATGCAAAAAAGCCTGCAGCAAAGGCTGAAGAGGAGCCTAGCGTAGTTCTTTTTATACAGCATTTGGGGCTGACTCACCAGGTTTGAATTCTTGGGTGAGGCAAAAGTAAGATAAGGAGGCCTGTCTGAGACTGAGAACTTTGCCGTCTTTTGTTTCTCCTGGGAAGCTGTAACTGTGTCAGCAGCCTCACCTCTGGAGCATTATTGCCTGTCCGCCTTCTGTATTGGACAGGGGGAGTAAAGGTGATTTAAAACCATAAGTTGTAAAATATAAAGCAGGCCCACCTTAGGCAAATAACCACCAGCAGGTGGCAGAGAGAAACCAAACAAGCTGAAGGCCTTTGTACCAAGCAGGGCAATCTGTTTATTTTGGCCAGCAGGTGCCAAGCATAATTTCCTCCTTTGATTACGTTTGCTGTTCTAATGATCCTTGGGAAACCTGCCTTGCCTCCAGGGGTTGGGTGGGATGGTACAGCCCGGCTGAGCCAAGTGACTCCGGAGGAACCCCTGAGACCGAACCCAGTGGGGCCCGTCTTCTTGCCAGCACAACAGAGGCTGCTCGACTCAGCCAGCGCCCGGTCCCCAGGAGCTCTCCAGGGCAACTGCCTAAGGGGCCCTTTCACAGGAAGTTAAAGGCCCACACCACCCTTGCTTACTTCCTGTGCTGGCTCCTCGTGTTTCCTTTTCAGGTCTTCCAATGCATTCATTTGGTGTACTCTAAGATTTGTAAGCCACATGACAGCAACTAAAAGAACATAAGAGAAGCCAATGCTGGATCAGGCCAACGGCCCATCCAGTCCAACACTCTGTGTCCCACAGTGGCCAAAAATACCAGGTGCCACCAGGAGGTCCAGCAGTGGGGCCAGGACACTAGGAGCCCTCCCACTGTTGCCCCCTCCCCAGGCACCAAGAATACAGAGCATCCCTGGCCCCCAGCCTGAGAGTTCCTATCTATACCTTGTGGCTCATAGCTGCTGATGGACTTCTGCTCCAGATGCTTATCTAATTCCCTCTTGAAGCTGTCCATGCTTGTAGCTGCCACCACTCCCTTGGGTATATGGCATCTGGACCCAGAGGCTTACTGGTTTTTAATTTCCCCACTAGGTCTACCAGCCCATCACACAAATCAAGTATTGATTTATATTAGGCACAAACAGACAATGGGCACGGGTAGAGGAATTAAGACAGGCAGCACAGAATAAATAAATAATTGACGAGACTTGGCCTTTCCTTTGAGAAACAGATAACGTGTCAAAGTCTTCTCCACAGATTCCTTGGAGATCTATAGGAATGTTCTGAGTGTGTTTACTTACTTGGGGTTATTAAATTTAACAGCCTAGTGCTAAATTCAAGGCCTGGGAAGATGTGCAGGAAAGCCATCATAAGTATTTACGGTGTTTGTATAATTGCGTATCTTCCTAGAGGCCGTTTCTGACTGCACCTGAAAGCTAGACTCATCATACGATGATGTGCCAGTCAACTTTTTAAAAATGAACTTTGCATTCTCTGTGTGAGTTCTCTTTGTTTTGAGGCTGTCAAGCAGGAAATGAGCAACATGTGCCTGGAAGTTCAGAACACCTAAGCATAAGTGAAATATTGGAAATAACTTTATAGCTTCACATTTATTTTTGTCTCCTTAGAAAGGGAGGCTAGGTTTGTTAGCGGGCTTTCTGGATGAGCAGAAAGCCTGAGCATTTGGTTGCCTTATTGTGTGGTCCAGTGTCAGAAGTGGTTCCAAGGCATTCACTTACCTGCCACACAGGACCTTTTTGACTAAAGCACTTTGGATCTAATCCGGATTCTCAACCATGTTGGACAGGCCACAGTTTGTGATCCAGATGCAGTGGTGGCACACAAAAGTGGATGTCAGCCATGTGCAAGAGGAGGAGGGAAGGCAGAGGGAGTTGGTAAGTATGGGGACAGCCGGGAGAGCAGGAACCTTCTGGCCTCCTCACGCTGACCATCCAATAGGGTTGCCAGGTCCAGGCTGGAGAACTCCTGGAGATTTAGGGGTGGAGCTTGGGAAGGGCAGGGACCTCAGTGGGGTACATAAGGCCACACAGTCCACCCTCCGAAGCAGCAGTTTTCTCCAAGGGAACTGATCTCTGTAGTCTGGAGATGAGCTGTAATTCTGGGAGATCCCCAGGTCCCACCCGGAGGGTGGCATACCTACCATCCCATAAGGTGGTGTCCACAACAGAGAATGCGTGTGTACGGGCAGTTTTTGATTTTACCCACTGGCAGGGTAAACCTGTAGAGGGCAAATCTATCCTGGCAGAGCAAAGAAGAAGGTGGCTGTTTCGCAAAAATGATGTTTGAAATATGATGGATGCAGAGCAAGGGGCTGGCAGAGAAAGGTTCTGTGGCTTGCTACAATCCTGGTGACATACTTATGTCTGTGCTTATCCATTATATGCATCTTCTTCCTTTGCTTTCCAAGGCAGTCCAAGATGGTCAGCAGATACACGGTGGAAGAGGACCCCAACATGGCCATTGCCGAGTGTTCCCATAGTGACTTTTGGGACAGGCTCGTCCAACAGCAAAGGTACTTCAGTCTCACACAAATTATGCACCGTGGGCCAGAGTAGGGACCCGGGGCTTTGGGAGATCTCTCTCTCTAGCTTCTTTCCTTTCCTTCCCTGTCTTGTACTCAGTGCTTTGGATGACAGCTTGAAATTACTTCCACACCCCAGAAATAGCCAGGCTGCTTTGGTTGTCAAGCGACACAAGAATGCACAGAGACATGCAAATAGATTTGCAAAACCTGGACTGCTTGCCAGGCCATCCTGTAAGTGGCAGGTTTTCTGCAGCAGTTTGAAAACCTGCAGCCAAAATTTAAGTCAAATTGTCTGCTTGTGACACCCAGTGCCACAGCTGGTGTTCCCTGCTTATGACTGAGACACCTTACTGCCAGTGCTGCACCCATGAAGCCTGCCAGGGGCTACTGATTTTGGCATCCTGAGAATCACAGTTTTTAGAACAAGGTTTGAGTCCAGTGGCACCTTTAAATTCAACAAAGTTTTATTCTGGGTATAAGCTTTCGTGTGCATGGACATGCACATGAGAGCTTATGCGCAGGATAGAACTTTGTTGGTCTCAAAGGTGCCACTGGACTCAAACCTTGTTCTGCTGCTTCAGTTGAACATGGCAACCCACCTGAAATTAATTTTTAGAAAGATTCTCGACTTTTGGCTGTATGCGTAAGACTTCCAGCGTTTAAGACCGTGAGTTTTAGTGCTCCTGAATAGTCCCTCAGGCTACCAGATATAGAGTACATATGCAAATATATGTAAATATGTGCCAAAGTTCCCCCCTCCAGTTATGGTTTTATAAGATGTAACAAAAGATGGTACTTGGCAGAACATTTATCTTTCAGCTCCCACTGGATGGACGAATACCATGAGGCACCGTCCCTGCTGGTAGGTTTTGAATGGACGGCACGCAGCTTGGCTTGAAATTATTTGCTTTTCTTCAGCAGAACGAATGCCCCATGTTTCAAAAAGGAAAATGCAAATAGGGCTTGTCTTGATTAATATGCTCTTTCTCGCTTACTCTGTGTGTGTTTTGCTGCAAACGTAATTTGCTCCACGGAACCTGACACTTTTTTTCTGTTGTTGTTTAACATTCACCACATACTGTGAAAAGAGGGAGGATAATTGTTTTACCTGGGGAATCCCAGACACGCCCAGCTTATTAATTAGGTTTAATTTGCTTAAAAGTTGGCTGAGCAGGAGGGCAGAGAATCTGGTGCCTGAGGCGGGGAAATCCAAAGGGCACCTTCCTCCCCCTAGTTAACAGGGCTCACAGCAGTCCCCTAAGGAGCTCTCCCGGCACATGGGGGGGGGGGAGGAGGAGGAGGAGGAGGAGGAGCCGCACATGGGCACTGGAGGGCTGGCTCCTGAGGCAGAGCCCTGCCTCCTGGCTTACGCCTGCTGCAGGCACCCGGCCCCCTCTGCACTGGCAGATGATGCTCCTGAAGGACTGCTAAGAGTAGACCCATTCAGAACAGCAGAGAGGAAGAGAGGGCCACATCTGGGAAGGCTGTGAGTTGGATGCTGGCTCTGCAAGAGCTGCTGTCCAGGGGTCGTTTCGTAGAAAAAGAGCTAGGGTAACTCATTAGCATAACTCATTAGCATATGCCACACCCCCTGACATCACTGGAAGTGTGTCATAAGGCCACACCCCCTGACATCACCGGAAGTGTGTCATAAGGCCACACACCCCACCCCCAAGGGTCCCGGCCGCCGCCACCGGACTTGTCGCTCCACTGCGGAGCCCCAGGAGGGGCCCGGGGGTGGACCTGCAAGGCCGGCGGGAGTGCAAGGAAGCCCCGCGAAGGCCCTCCCTGGCCCCAGGCAGGCAGGGGTGGGGAGAGGCATGGAGGAAGCAACTTACCCTCCCTCTTCTCCTGCCTCCTCCTTGCTGAATGAGGGCTGGAAGCGGGGCGGCCGGAAGCAGGGGGCGGGGCTTTGTCATGTGCCCCGCCCCCCGTACCTCCCCCGGGGGAACTGCGATCCCCCGCGATCCCCCCCCCCGAATCAATCTCTGCTGCTGTCTGAGGTCTCCCAGGTGGGCCAGATGTGGCTCTTTGGGCAGTGCCTGCTAGTAGCCGGAGGCTGCTTTGTGCAGGGATCCTTTGCCCGAGAACAGAGCGGCTACAAAATGGGTCCCTGTTTCCCTCTGTGAAATGTTGGCAAGCGTGCAGACGTGTTCTCTCCCCCTCCCCCCCCAGATGTCTGGCTGTGTAGCTCAAAGGCCTGCTGAGGCAGAAGGAGACCATTTTCCCTGGCAGGGGCTTTCAGCAGAGCAGACACTTCCATCACCCAAGGAGCTGTGTCGGAGGAAGAAAAAGGGGCCCAAACAGCCAAGGCTCGAAAAAGGCGGCGTCTTGTCTGTCTGTTATCATCTGGAGGAGCTGAAGAGACGGCAAAGCATCATCGATGAGTAGGGCGAGAACCTTTCTGGGCCAAAGGGAAGCTCAGGGCATACCGAGGCAGGGGAGGAGGGGAAGGGGTGAGGAACAAGATGGAGAATCGGGGGGGGAGGGCATCCGGGCAGGGGGGGATATAAATCCCAATAAGTAAGTGAGTGAATAAGCAAGTGAGTAAGTAAATAAATGCAGACAGGGTGAAACAAAATTTGTGAAATGGGGCTGGGCTGGCTATAGCCTTGCTTGCATTTGGCCACTTCTTGTTTTTAAAGGTCAAGATGGGCACTTCCGAGACTGAGTGGACGCCGCAGGAGAACATGGCTCCTCAAGCTCTTTAAAAAAACCAAAAAGCACCTTTTTTTCTATGACTGTCTGCTAGAGAAAAAACTGCATTTCCCCAGGAATTAAACATTTCCCTTTGAGTGCTGGGGAAATGATTTCCTTCGACAGAAGCTCTGCATGGAGGAAACATGTCTGAATGCCACGCAGCAAATGAATAACGATCCCTGAGCTATGATTGAGTGGAGGCTCTTGAATGCAAAGGCCCTCTGTGCCTGCACTCTCCTCTTGACACCTGCTGTCTGTTTGCAATCCACACATTCCAGGCTGAAGAAGGCTAAATGGGGTGGGTGTCCGCCCCAGCCATCTCACGAAGGAGACAGCAGTGCAGCTGGCCCGCACCACGGAGCGCCATGGAGCCCCTTCAGCATGCCAGGCGCTACAGCCCACTTCTATGAAAAGGAGGACTCGGTCTTCCAGAGACACGGCAATAAACAGGTAAGCTGGGCTTACAAAGCCACAAGCAGTGGGTGGGTGAGTGGGTGGGCGCATGGGGGGTTCATATTGCAAGCTTCTTCCAATCCAGGAAGCAGATTCTGATGTGGATAACATTCCAGTGCCGTTAATAATCAGAAACCTGATTGGGGGGGGGGGAGGACTCTGTAACCATGACCAGAACAGAGTCAACTGCAGCCTCTTGTCTTTCATGATTCCTGCTTCTTCAGAGGAAATGTCAAAGCAAGGCAGCTGGAGGCAACCTCAGCCACTCAACCAATTCCACTTGCTCCTGCCTGGCCCATCAGAAAGAAAAAAGACTCTTATGACTCCTTGAAAACTGGCACATTTACTGAAGCAGAAACCTTCATGAAGGCCAGGCCCCAAGCACTTTGTCATATGCACAAAATGGACTGCCAGTTCACAGAATGTCTACATTATGGAAGGGGGGAGGAGTGAGGTTAAAAGGCCAGGAACTACAGGCAAGGGCCGCAGTTCAGTGATAAGAGCCTCTGCTTGGCATACAGAAGGTCCCAGGTTCAATCCCCCGCATCTCCAGTTAAAAAGGACCAGGCAGTAGGTTACGCGAAAGGCCTCGGCCTGAGACCCTGGGGAGTAACTGCCAGTCTGAGTAGACAATGCTAACTTGGATGGACCAAGGGTCTGATTCAGTATAAGGCCACTTCATACGATATTTCCATGCAAAAGTAAAAAATACACAAGGTGGGACCATTTCACGACAGTCTCTCTAGTGCTAAGCCATTTAATTCCTGCAGTGGCGTAGAAAAACGGCTGCTCTGTTTAATTCCTGGTTGATATAGCCAAGGCTGTGCTCCTGGTGAGTTCTAATGCTCTAATGAGTTTCTCACTAGAGTCTGC